TCCTTTTAAACCTAAAATTCCTATGGTTTGTATTTATTGAGTTCTCATTGGTGATGCCAGTATGTTCTCTTTAAATCTATTCCGTCGATTACCTAACGCGAGAAACTATAATACCGGAGTATAAATTGACTTCTATAACAAAAAATTATCAAAGTATTGCTGTGAGCTTAGCGAAGTTGAAACCTGGCTAAATCTTCTGCCTGATTAAAGGTTGGGGTTATTATAAAATAAGATTTTGCTCTTGCATATTTTTCTTTATTGAACTAGTATTTGTTGATAAATATCTTGTATAGCGTATATAAATACTCTAATTAAAATATTTATATTTAGCTATATATTTTTCTACTTCTCGACCTTTCGCCGAATTTGCTTGTTTGCCTATTTTTGGGGAAATTTAAATGTAAACCACCAAATAAAGTTGTTCCTTGGTGAAAATAAAAGTAAAAATTCTTGTATAAATGCTTTTGATTGCTTGATCTTGTATAAACGCTTTTGATTGCTTGCTATTATCTTACATTTTAATTCGATCTCGTATCATTATGCTTACATCACTTATCTTTTATTTTTCGTATAATTAGAGTATCGAGACTACATCTCCACATTCCTTCACGAGCCTAGCACTATATTTAACTTGAAAATGCTATACGAGTCTTACGAAGACCTCCGCAATACCACCAGAGAATTGCTTCATATTGTAGTCATTTATACTTAATTAGTGAATATCAGGCAAAATAAACACTAAACATGTAATATACTACTTTATTTCAAGAGCGGTGATATGATATACCTAAACATCTGGCGGATTGCTAATTTTCCAGATTTATACTTGCCCAACTGTTATTTGAAGTTCGTGTTCTTAAAATTGCACTCTCAGGAAAGACTAGTCTATTGAAAAGACTCGAACCTGACTTCTTCATTCTAATTACGAATATCCTAACTTCGTTTAGCTACATTAACTTTAAATATTTTCACTTTCGGTTGATCGCCATTATATTTGATTACCGATTTTATCTGACTTATAAATGATTATTAATGTATAAACATAAATGACTGCATTTATTTGAACTCTTATTTAAATCTATATAAACCTATTTATTTAGGAGTGGAGGGTGGGGAGACAGCCTGCAAGCTTGCCCGAAAGTGGGCTTATGAGGTCAAGAAAGTACCCAGCGATAAGGCGCGTATAATCTTTGCCGAAGGTAATTTTTGGGGTCGGACCTTAGCGGCTATCTCTTCTTCTACCGACCCGTCTTGTTTTACAAACTTTGGGCCCTTTATGCCCGGCTTCGATGTGATCCCTTATAATGATCTGGAGGCACTCAAGGTATGTCCTATTTGAAATTTATCTGTGGTTTTTAGGATTCAACTTTTCACTTGCATCTTAGCGATCTTCTCTCACTCCAAAAATTTATTAATCTTAATTGACTCTTTTTGTTGGCCGAAAATCCATTTACCTTTTGCGATATCTCACTAGCCTTCCTTTACACTATTGTTTATGCATTTCTGATAGATATCGGGCCTGATCTTTTTGTAAGTTGTTGTTACTAGTTTTTTGACACTTTCAATTTAGTATATGTTGATTTTAAACGGAATATTACTAGTTTTTGATATCCTTTACATAATTTTATAAATGAATTTTAAAATTATTTTCACTCTTCGTTACTGGTGCTCCTTGTTATCGCTTCTTAATATATGAATACAATTTGTGTTGGAGTAATCTCATGCTTTAACTTGCTGCCCAATGTGGCAAAAAATTTGATCAATTTCATCAGAATAGGACGGCAGAATCATCTCGGCTAACTGTCACTTGTCTTTAATTGTACGTTCTGGTTGACGTTTTCCTTGAAACAATCTTCTTCTTTTTCAGTAAAAATGTGCTGGGTTTTCTTTTATAAGTAGGGTTTTGAGACTG